ATCGAATAATAAATCTGCAGTGTGTGGTCGGACTCTGCTTCTTGGCTTCGGCCGAGGACGCCTGTAGCTAGTACTAGTACTAGTAGTAGCAGTATGTATGTACTCCGTATGCGCAATATGCCTATCCTATGGACGGATAAAAATTAAATTAAAAACCAAAACAATAACACAACAGATAGCACTATCGCCTCCTACAAATTACCGGGTCCGGCAGGTACCTTTCAGGACTAATAGCATTGTGGTTAGACAGTGTCTGGCCTGAGGTGGTATTGTTTCCCTTAAATGTACCACCAGGTGATCAGCCTTTGCTCCGCACCGTCTCAGGTTATTGTCCCGCAGATTTCATTTCTCTTCCCTTTACTTCCCACTTCCAACACCACTCTTTATTCACATCGCTCGCTTATTTGGATCGTCGGGGGTGTAGCCGCTTGATTTGTATTTTACGACTCGTTCTTCGAAGTTGTTCGCTCGCTCTGTTTACTGACAGTCTCGTATTCGCACGGTTCGCTGGTAATTCGAATCTACCTGCGCCCATACCACATTGGAATCCGCGATCGCTTCTCAGGCAATTTCCTCGCATTCCTTTCGTGTCGCTGCTCCGTTCCCGATATTCGTCGATCCCTGCGGTTAGCCTAGGAAGCTGGGCCTTGCGTCACAACACCCGTCGCATCGATTTACTACTTGTCTATGCGAAGATCCAGTCAGTCAACATCGGTTTGGTAAAAACAAAAAAACTATCGCCGTCTATGCTCGCTTCAATCTAACGGTGAGTGTGTCCTGATGCGCATCCCACCATCCGTCCGGAGCCTACAATTGCCCAAATCTTGCCATGCTCACACTTTAGTTCCTTAGAAGCGTCATGTCTTTGCCGCAACGGCCGGGAAAGGCCTCCCCGCGACGAGAAGAAGTCCACTCGGCTTTCCGGGAATCATCGCGCAGAAGACGACGAGACAGTGAGACGGGAGGTCTCACTGATACTCTATCGAGCCCAACATCACACCGCCATCATCATCACCGACGCCATCGCTCGCACAGCTCTCGGAGAAAGAAAGATGTTGACGAAGAAAGAGGCGATACGGGCGAGGGGGTTAGGCGCAAAAAGAGCTTTGTCAAGCCGGAGCGCAGTCGCATCGATCAAGACCATCCCAACTACCACTACCGCCAACGGTCACAAAACATGCCCACCTACCCATCGGCGACAGGACATGAGCCATTAATGAGTGGAGATGGTGAGGTTGATACGAACAGTTCTCGCAGTATGGATAGGGCCAAAGAAGGGGTATATGGTGAGCATGGGACTATCAACAAGCCCATGGAGCGGGCTCCGAGTCAGCATCGGTCCAAGAAAAGGAGGCACTCTCGGAAGATCTCGAAGAAGGCATCTGCACAGGAAAGGAGACGACAAAAGGCGCTAGAACAAGTCCGTCCCCCAAGTTTATGGAGCACGTATTGCGCAATAATTACATTCTGGGCACCGGATTTTATCCTTCGGTGCTTTGGAATGCCGCAAAAAGCGCAGCGGAGTGCGTGGCGCGAGAAGATCGGGCTCATTAGTATTATCCTGCTCATAGGAGCGTTCGTCGGATTTTTGACTTTCGGATTTACAGCCACTGTATGCGGTACCCCCCCAGTAAGGCTAAAGGTCAATCATGTCACCAAAGGCTACATGATCTTCCATGGGAAAGCCTACGACTTATCTAAATCGAAGCACCCCGCAGCTGCCGGAATTCCAGGTAGCTCCAATGTCCTCTATGACCTACCCGATAAGTATGGTGGCCAAGATGGGAGTTTCTTTTTCCAACAAGTAAACGGAGCCTGTAAGGGTCTAATCACACTTGCGGACGGATCTGATGTGCCTACCAACTCAAATGGTGACCTGGCATGGTATTTCCCATGCACGGCGTTCAACCAGGATGGCTCATCTGAGCCCAACTATACGGAGCCTTACTACAAGGGATGGGCCTGCCACACGTCAGGGAAGGCGCGGAAGTCGTTTTACAGCCTGGGAAGCTCCGGAGACGTATATTACACATGGGAGGACACGAAAAACAAAAGTAGAAACCTGGCGGTCTACTCTGGAAACGTGCTGGATCTTGATCTCTTGCGGTGGTTCAACACTGATCAGGTCAAATACCCCGCCAAATTTGATCAGCTTCGCACAAATCCGGATGTACGCGGCGTTGACCTTACATATTACCTTCAGACTGGGGAAGAGAAGAAGATAGGCAAATGCCTCTCCCAAATCATCAAGGTCGGCAGTATCGATACTGACACAGTCGGGTGTATTGCCTCTAAAGTGGTTCTTTATGTGTCATTGGTCTTCATCTTATCCATTGTTATTGTCAAATTCGCATTTGCCTTGATCTTCCAGTGGTTCCTTGCCCCAAGGCTCGCCGCCCAGAAGACAAGCATGAGCTCCGATCCCAGGAGACGTAATCAGCAAATTGAAGACTGGTCGAATGACATCTATCGGCCAGGCCCTCGCCTGACCGATCCCACGGACCGCCCCAATAAAAGGGCCAGTTTCCTACCAACAACTTCCAGGTTTTCGAGCCCTTACACGGTGAGCAATGGCGGGAAACAACGCCCTCAATGGGTAACCATGGCGAGCCAGAACTCCACCAGCCGGTTAGTTCCTGGCGGTGGCTCCATGTACAGGCTGAGCCACAATGGCAGCGGTGGCACCTTAAGTGCAGATGCTTCTCGCCAGAATCCCACGGCCAGTCGAACGAGCTTAGTGCAAGACTCCCGCTATTCCACTGCCGTTGCCGACTCTGACGGCGTTGCAGCGGGTGGGTACATCCATGAAGCCGTAGTTCCTCAACCGCCGCCCGAATGGCAGCCCTACGGCTTTCCTTTGGCCCATGCTCTGTGTTTGGTTACTTGTTATTCGGAAGGTGAAGACGGAATCCGTACCACCCTTGATTCCATCGCGATGACCGATTATCCTAACAGCCACAAGACCATTATTGTCATTTGTGACGGTATGATCAAGGGAAAAGGTGAGGAGTTTTCCACTCCCGAAATTGTGCTTCGCATGATGCGCGATCCGGTTGTTCCCATGGATGAGGTCCAGCCGTTCTCCTACGTAGCAGTGGCAACCGGCTCCAAGCGACACAACATGGCAAAAGTCTATGCTGGCTTCTATGACTACGGGGAGACGTCCATCATCCCACCGGAGAAACAGCAGCGTGTTCCAATGATGATCGTTGTGAAAGGTGGAACGCCATCCGAAGCAAAACAATCCAAGCCGGGGAACCGCGGTAAACGAGACAGTCAAATTATTCTGATGTCTTTCTTGCAGAAAGTGATGTTTGATGAAAGGATGACCGAACTTGAATTTGAAATGTTCAACGGCCTCTTACATGTAACCGGCATACCCCCAGACTTTTATGAAGTTGTGCTCATGGTCGACGCCGACACGAAGGTCTTCCCGGACAGTTTAACGCACATGATCTCCGCTATGGTTAAGGATCCAGAGGTCATGGGTCTCTGTGGTGAAACTAAGATCGCTAACAAGACGGACAGTTGGGTGACTATGATTCAAGTGTTCGAGTATGTACACCCTCCCTTTCGTCTCTATGCCCTTCCTGACTCTTGTACCAGGTACTTCATTTCCCATCATCAGTCCAAATCGTTCGAATCCGTCTTTGGTGGTGTGACCTGTCTCCCCGGGTGTTTCTCCATGTATCGGATTAAAGCACCGAAAGGAGGCCAGAACTACTGGGTGCCGATTCTTGCCAATCCCGACGTGGTGGAACATTATTCAGAAAATGTAGTGGACACTCTGCACAAAAAGAATCTGCTTCTACTAGGAGAGGATCGGTACTTGTCAACTCTGATGCTTCGCACTTTCCCCAAGCGGAAACAGATCTTTGTGCCCCAGGCTGTTTGCAAAACCCAAGTGCCCGACAAGTTCATGGTCCTTCTCTCTCAGCGTCGTCGCTGGATCAATAGTACGGTTCATAACCTAATGGAGCTGGTTCTGGTGCGAGACTTGTGCGGAACGTTCTGCTTCAGTATGCAATTCGTCATCTTCATCGAGCTGATTGGAACACTGGTCCTTCCTGCGGCTATCGCGTTTACCTTCTACGTGGTCATATCGTCTATTGTCAAGAAGCCGGTGCAGGTCATCCCGCTGGTCCTGCTGGCCCTCATTCTGGGACTTCCCGGTGTGCTCATTGTCGTCACCGCCCACCGGTTGGTCTACGTCTTGTGGATGTTGATCTATCTCATCTCCCTGCCTATCTGGAACTTTGTTCTTCCGACCTACTCGTACTGGAAGTTTGACGACTTTAGTTGGGGTGACACGCGGAAGACTGCTGGGGAGAAGGACAAGGGACACGATGCTGGGGAAGGAGAATTCGACAGTAGTAAGATCACAATGAAGCGGTGGCGAGATTTCGAGAAAGGTATGTGTGTGTATCTCGAGGAGACCCTCCAGTTCTATAGTAGCTGACATGATCGGTAGACCGCCGGCTTCGCATGCAGGCCGCCTGGGGACAGCCTCCGTTGGGAGGATATCCTACGCGTTACGAAGAATACTCCGATTACTAGTATATAGGGGGGATATGTGCCATATGTTTCTAGATGTTGGTCACGAGCGATTCGATTAACTTGTGTATTACGTTTCTCTTTTCTTCCTTTCTAATTCTTTGTGCCTTTTTACTCTTTTTTGGCTCACTCGGACGGCGTCTAGAAAAGATTTTTGTATAGCTTCCCGCAAAGGGTAAGGACCGTACACTAGTGTTCTTGGAGATACACCGTCTTGCCAGGATGGTTGGATTCTGATCTGATTGTGAGAGTATTGAGCTTTGATGTATTTTTGAGCGAGACCAGCGATGGAGCATATAATGAATGGACACGACTGATGAGAGATGGGAAGGATGACCTCGTCCGTTTTTAATGTCACAACGAACCTTCGAGGGTAAAAAGAGGGAGTAGTTTTTATTTTTATTTTTACTTTATTTATTTTATTTAATTTAATTTGATTTGATTTGATTCTATTTTATATTTCGTTTTGGAAGAACAAAAGAAATGCAATTACATTACTAAGACAAAATGCAACGACAGAAAAAGCAACGATGAAAGCGAAGCGGCAATCATAATCACATTTCTTGCATGTCAGATCTTAGCAGGATTCCCGAAGAATGACCCTTGCCACAGCTGCCGATGAAACTCTCGTGTCAATTCTGACGGTTCGGGTTGCTTTTGCCACCACGGTACCACTCCGGAAAAGGTTGTTGGGGGATGCTCAGACCCTTTTCTTTGGTTTTCGAGTTTCGAGACCTTTGGCTGGTTTTGTGAGCACACGTTCCCCCTTTGAACTTCCTTTTTGCTTTTGCGGATCATCCCGTCCATGTGACGGCTCATGCACGTTCCTTTCTTTTCGGTATTTGGTAAGATTTCTCTGTCTCTCTCTTGTTCTCTGGTCTCATTCTTCGCTTTCCACTCCACTCTCATCATGGACCCCTCACTCACTCCACTTGTACATACTTTTCATTAATCAATCATGTATTCCCGGTTCGTATGACTGATGCATCCCTACCGACATCATCTGTTCTTGACTGGACTTCTTTGCGTACTCCATCAAAGTACTTAATAATATATATATCTATATATATATATCTCTCTCTCTCTTTTTCTGATATCTTCAAAAAGGCTGGAAACTAACTCCGATCGGCGATACTGACTTTGTGGTTCAGCCCTTCCAGAAGGTGGTTGAATAACCGTCAAGAAAAAAAAGAAAAGAGAACGATCAGGGGAATAAAAGGCAAATAGGAAGACGCTGTGATTGTGTTACTCTCATATTTGACTATCATCATATCTATCCCCTTCCTTTTTGGGGGGACTTGCTTTTCTCGTGGGTTTCTTTTTTCTTTTCTTTTCTTTTCTCTTTTCTTTTCTTTTCTTTTTTTTTTTTTT